GAAGAGAGCTCTGCGAATGTTGTCAATGGAGAGGCTGAAGAGCTCTTCCTGGGACGACCCATGTTGCAGCATCGACAATGGAATGAATTCACTGGGGTGCTGCTGCTCCATAATTACCTTGCTGTGGAGACTAAAAGGTAAAAATGGTGGCTGTTTTGGAAACGAGGGGGACTTATATAGAATGGAAATGAAATGAGGAAACTAGGCTTTTATTAAAGGGTCGAATCAAGATGTGACGTCCATTCGTTTTTTTGAAAAATTTTCGAAGCCATAATATCCCCAAAAGTAGGGCAATGCATTAACGTTTTGATTTCGACTGTCACTTTGTGTTAATCTTACAAAAATTTTCTGAAAATTATTGGATGCATGGTATCATTATTGTTATGACTAGTCCATGGACTGGAGTTAACTTATGGATTTAATTTACCATATTAAGACGAATGGTCAAATTTGGCAGGGTCCAGAGTCGAATTTGGTAGGGTCATGAATGGGATTGCGAGGAAAGCCATACAAGGAAAAGTTAAGGTATCTCATTTTTTTGCATCATGCATAATTAGAATTTCATTAAAGCCCAATTAATTACGATGATAAGCACATATAGGAATTTGAAGTAATGCCATTTTCTCCTAAAGAAAAAGAAAAGGGTTCGGCGTTGATCTTGTCTCAAATAAGGTCTTGAAGTGGCTAATTTAGTTTTAAATAAGGCTCCGAACTCACCGATCGACCGAATTTCTATGACCGACGAGCCCATGTATGTCGCGAAGATGCAAGGGCTCGCCGCCCGGCGAAGGATTGGCCGGCCCAATGTTGGGTTCATTTCTTTGTTTATATTAGGGAAAATTGTCAAAAAGTCCTAAACCTATTGCACTTTTGCCAATTCAGTTCTAAACCTTTTAAGTTTGCCAATTCAGTCTTAAACTTTTTCACTTCTTACCAATTCAGTCCATTTGGCTGGCCGGCACTGACGTGGCCACTGGTCGTCCGGCCAACGCTGACGTGGCAATTTTTAAATATTTTTTCGAATTTTTTAATTTTTTAATTTTTCTCTTTTTTTCTGCCTTTTCCCTTTGGCCGGTTCGGTGACCAGCTAGAGGCGCGGGCCGGCCTCACCGTTGCTGGGTTTTGCGACGGTGAGGCCGGCTTTGCCGTCGCGAGTTTTCGCGACGGCGAGGCCGGCCTCACCTCAGCTGGGCGAGGCTGACCTCGCCGGATTTGGGCGAGGTCGAGCCTCGCCCAGCCATGACGAGGCTAGCCTTGCAGCGGTAAGCAAGGCTCGCACTAGCCGGTGGCCGGCGGGGGCGAGCTTCACCAGAGGCCGGCGAGGTCGACCTCGTTGGCCTGCGCCTCTGGCCGATCGTCGGTCGTCGGACCAGCCAGAGGGAAAAGGTAGGAAAAAAAAAGAGAAAAAAATATTAAAAAATTCGAAAAAAATACTTAAAAATTGCTACATCAGCACCGGCCGGCCAAATGGACTGAATTGGCAAGAAGTGAAAAGGTTTAGGACTGAATTGACAAACTTAAAAGGTTTAGGATTGAATTGGCAAAAGTGCAATAGGTTTAAGAATTTTTTAACAATTTTCCCGTTTATATTATTATTTTGTCCGATTAGTTATTCTTCACAATAGCTAAAGTCGATTATTGGAAGATAAATTTACATTGGATGATCAGGATCTACACACTTAGGTGTAGTATAAACTAGAGCCAAAAAAAAAAACGGCATTCATATCCGTCCCAAAAAAAGAAAATGATAAGTGCACTAAAAATCCTAAAGCTTATTGCAAAAGTGTAATTGATTCGTGAAACTTTCAAAAAGTGCAATCAAGTCCAAAAAATTGTTACATTGGTGCAATCAAGTTCTTCTGTTGTTACCATCAATGAGTCTAATAGAAAATGCCAACGTTGGCATTTTCAAATTAATTTCTCTCTCCTACATGGCGCTTTTTAATTTATTTCTTCTTCAAATCTTATTTAAATTAGATTAAAAATTAAAAAAGGCTAAAATTTTATTTTAAAAAAAACAACACTGAAAAAAAAAGAATGGCAAGGCCCCGCCACCGCCGTCCATCGTCGGAGGGGCCGGCGACTAGCCCTCGCAAGCCCTGAGCAAGGCCTCGCTGGCAAGTGAGGGAACTTAACTTAAGGATCTGGGGCTAGGCGGCTGTGGTAACACTCCATCAACGAAGCCCTGCCTTGTAGGAAAGAGAAATTGATTAAAAAATGCCATAGCAACATTTTTCATTAGTCAAATTGACGATGTTAACGAAATGACTTGATTGAATCAATTTGACAAGTTTTAAGACTGGATTGCACTTTCTGAAAGTTTTGGGTTATCAATTGCACTCTCAGGACAAGTTATGGGACTTCTAATGCACTTATTCAAGAAATTTTTTTAAAAAAAGTTTTCAATAAGGAATAATCATGATTTGGTACTATGAACTAATTAAAATTTCCAAAAGAGGAAAACCCATCTTCTTTGAAGAAAAAATTATTAAATATCAACTTTATCCGCCCTTTAATATGATGGTTGGAGAGAGAGCATAGGTTATTTATTAAATTTTTTTTTTCATTATCCAAAAAATGTCATTTCGTTTTTGACTTTTCTCAAGTTTAGTGTATAAAGTTCTTTTCACGATCCCCGTCAGATGTTTGACATTTGAAACAATTTGGTTATATAACTAATTCCAAATCACACATAGTGTCCATTCTATGGCGGTTTAATTTTAATAATTTTTTCATATATTTGTTGTCCAAAATTCTTTTCTACACTCAGGTTTCTACTAATAAATGTTAAAATTTCCACTTCAGTTGGTTCTTGAGGCGTCTCTAGAGACGAGGATCATTTTGGTTTGGTGCTGGATAGGGGTGAGCATGATTCCAAGGTAGAACGGAACCGGTTCTAACGAGTTCTAAAACTTGGAATCTGAAACCTGGAACAAGTTTTTGTGTTTTTTTTGTTATATGTATTTGCGCAATCTTGCGATATTCCATGGCGTCCGATGATGAGCCTGTATTGTAGAACCACTAGTATGAGGTTCCATTTCCGGCGATATCAATGATTGAGACTTTTATTTTGTTAATGCTTTATATTCTTCATATGTCTAAAAATAAGTTGTGGTCAGTAGATTGTAACATCATATGGTAGTCATTGGAGGTGATGATTCACTGCAATAATTTAATTATGAATATAGGTGGAACTTGGGTAAACCTGAAACTTGTGACAGGGTAAGTTTTAGGTTCCAGGATATGTAGAGCAGGTCCAGATTCTAAAAATATGATAAATCTGTTTTGACGGGTAGGTTATAAGTGGAACCTGTAAAGAATCTAGAATCGCTCACCGTTAGTGCTGGATCGGAGCCAAATCAAAAAAGAAAAAAAAGAATTTATTCGTGCTTTATTGTTGAAGAATTTATTCAATTATGAATTATCTGTTTTTCTTGTCTACAAAAGGGGCACCGAGTCAGATAAAAATTGAATGCATGATGATATATATGAGCATAACGGAAAAAAAAACAGGGAAAAGAAATGGGCATGATGAGTAAAAGGTATATTATTATTTTGTTGTCAAATTTTAGACTATTACATATACATCCAAAAAATTATGAAAAATTTACATTCGAATTTATATGTCAACATTTTCAATTTATAAGAAAGATTATGTACGTGCGCCGCATAATTTAAAATTAAGGAAAAAATAAAAATAAAAATATTGGAAACAATTGATGTTTCCCTTGAACAGTGGAAAGTAAATTAATGTAGAAAAAAAAAACAAAAGACTGTGTAACCAAAGAAAATAGAGAGAGAGAGAGAGAGAGAGAGAGAGAGAGAGAGAGAGAGAGAGAGAGAGAGAGAGAGAGAGAGAGAGACCTTAGACTCAAGAAGGCATTTCTTCAGCTTGGTTTACTCCACCTCCAGCTTCTTGCTCTTCCACCGGGCCCTCCTATTCTCAAACCATACCGCGACTTGCCACCGGCCTGTCCTTCCTCCCTGACTCGAGTTTGTGCTTGTCCCCAAAGTTTCACTCGAGGAGCTCCACTTGCTTTGCGCTCAGCTTCCCCTTCCCCTTCCCCGGTCCTAGCCCTCCGTCCCTTCTCTCTGATCCTTTGCTCTTCTTCTGCCTCCAGCAGCGGCTTTGTCTTTGCGTTAAGCCCTGCCATTCTCGTCGACATCGGTGCGTAGAAATATGATAGTATTTGGTTGGCCTGGGATCTGTCTAATGCTCCGTTTATTTCGTGGAAATTGAATGTTTTGGAAAATATTTTCCTTAAAAGATCATTGGTAAAAATGAGTGAATAGAAAATATTTTCATCGTTCACGAAAATATTTAGATATGAATTATTGTCGATTAATAAAAATATTTTTCATTGACTAATTATTTCAATCGATAAAAGCAGTTATTTTCAAGAAAATAATTTTTAAATTATTTATTTTTTATAAAATAAACGGAACTTAAGTGCTGATCCTGCAAAACATGTGGGTGGCAGGTGTGGGCCCAAAAGTTTGACAGGCTCCGATTTTGGATGCTTCCACAAACATGGTATGTATGACGCGTTTCTTTCGGGACGGCTTGATAACAAATTCGAACAACACATACCCGATTGAACCATGACGGTCTGCTACGCATGAGATCCGTTTGTCAATTGTGTCCCGATGGAACCCTTGTGTTAGGAATAGAAAGGCATGAGTAACAAATACAATGTCGGGTCAAAAGTTTAGATTTAAGTAAAAAATGTTCAACTGATTTGCTTTATAATTAACTGAATAGAGTTGGTAATGTCAATGTAGCGGGCTCATCAAATCAAGACGCTACCATGTTGATCATCATAGGCGGTTGTTTTCGATGGTTCGAAAGTGTGGTTGCCGTCTCCGCTGGATCGCTTAATTTTATAATTAAATCCCATGCTGCCCTTCTCGGGAAGCGTGTCGCGCTAACCGAATTATGTAAATCCGATGTCAAATTTATTTACCTCGTTCGGCCTATCATCTTGTCTTGTCGGGTAACGTATTTTAATGCAACAGCTAAAAGTCAATTATTAGAAGACAAACTTTACAGTGGACGGTCAGTATCCACACATATCCTATAGAGCAATAATTTTGCCACTAATTAACCACTATACCACGCTACACATAAAGATTAAACCACTCCATGCCTTGAAGGTAAGCATTCTGTGGCGCGTAATACAACACATCTTGGTGGTCATCGCATTCCTCAGCAACTCCATAATCTCCCCGAAAGGGATTGTCCGCAGCATCAATGGTGGCCGAGGAGCAGGGGCTGTTGCTGCTGGAGAGCCTCTTTATCTCCATCTCCGCCTCTGAAAGTTGCTCCTTAAGCTTCAGAACCTGCAGACAACATTGATGAATGAAACACAGACATCAATACTTTGGGGGGTACTTAAGGACAAAAAGGTCATACTTAGGTCCGGTATAAACCCCGAGCCGGATAGAAAAACGGGGCATTCGCGCCCTACCCCATGTGGCCTTCCGAGAGGCCTCGGCACGAGCCTGGTCGAGTGCGGTCGAATGGTCTCACAGGACATGTCGAGTTTGAGAGCATGCATGCTCGATTCATTAACGAAATACGAGACGAATTTGAAGGCGGCTTTGACACGAACCGCGGCGAGATTTAGACCCGACATCCGTGTTCGAGGTTTTAAATTTGGCAGATAAATGACCATCACAAATGAGATGCCTAATTTCTCCTGGGATTAAGAGCTCAATCTTGTCTGTGGATTCTAGCATGACTAATTCAAATGCAGACCAAACATCCAAAGATCTTCGAGTGTTGTCCGAAAAAAGTAAAAAGAAGAAAACACTGTCAAAGCCGAGTTGAACTATAGGTTTAAAATGGCAGGCAATTGGATCAGTTGCCGGAAAACTCGGATCTGTCCAATTAAGGATTAAATCATGAATTTGGAATCATGAACTATAACCAAAGTTGTATATCCAATATAATAAAAAATCTCCCTATAAAAGAAAAATTAGCAAATTCCATTATCCAGAAAATCTCATTTCGTTTCGGAAACTTATTATCTTGATCGTTAAGGTAAAAGGTAATTTTCACAATCCCCACGGGCACGGGATGTGCAAAAATTTTCGTGTCACGATAAATTCCAAACTCATCATCTCAAGAAGTATTCGTGCTTTAATGTCAAAGAAGTAATTTATGAATTTCGTGTTGTTTCTCGTTTCCCAAAAAGGGCATCAGATAAAAATGGGATGCATGAAAATGGAAAAAAAATAGGGAAATATTTTGTCCCCGATTATTTCCACTTAAAAAATAAGTTAAAAAGGATTTGATTATCTTGCTGTTAAAGTTTAAAATATTATTCATGACTAGAGAGAAAAAAAAACATTGATACTTGGCTCTAAACAGTGGAAATTAAATTAAATTAAAATTAATAGAGAGAAATGAGACCTCAGACTCGAGACGGCATTTCTCAACCACGGCGGTCTCGTGGACGGACTTCAGCTTGGCGTACTCCTCCTCCAGCTTCTTGCTCTTCCACCGCGCCCTCCTGTTCTGGAACCACACCGCCACCTGCCGCGGGTCGAGCCCGAGCTCCGCCGCCAGCCTGTCCTTCCGCTCCGACTCGAGCTTGTGCTCGTCCCCGAAGTTCCGCTCGAGGCGCTCCACCTGCTCCGCGCTCAGCTTCCGCTTCCCCCGTCCCCCTTCCCCTCCTCCCCCGCCCTCGCCCTCGCCCTCGCCCTCGGGTCCTCTGCTGCTCTTCTTCCGCCTCCTCCGCGGCTTCGCCTCTGCACAGAGATAGACAACCCCAGTTAGGCAAATCACGTTTAAACACGATAGTGTGTGCTGGTGCGTGGGAATCTGTACGTCAAAAGACCTTGTGGAGGAGATAATCGCGTGTACACTCCAGGGTAGAGCTGAGAGATGAGTGCCATGTCATCTTCGCTCAGGTCGTTCATGGCGTGCCCGTGTCTCTCTCTCTCTCTCTCTCTCTCTCTCTCTCTCTCTCTCTCTCTCTCTCTCTCTGATCAGTGACGAGGTTGCTGTTTTGCTTTGACAGGGAAGAGACTCCGGTCCCGTCCGAGTGAAGAGCTGGATGGACGATGATGGAGAGGACTTTTATAGGGCTCAAGTTTGAAAGCACCCCCCAATATGCATCGAAATCACGCTTTTTGCCACTCGCGGAGGACAGACAAGGCAAACTTACACGCACACTCTCTCAAGACTCGAGTGCATATCGTATGTTGATGTCAGCCAATTCAATCAACATCCAACCTTACTTATTTAAAAAGTCTGGTCACACTTAGGGTGCGCATGAATATCATTCTGTGCCCGGAAACTATTTCTGAACAGAAATGATTTTTTTTTATGCTGTGCCCATAAACAATTTCTGAGTATTTGAAGGCGTTTGATAAACTGACCAAAATTTCTATTCCTAGAGTAGAAAAGAACAGAAATGCGTTTGGTAACTACACAAAATTTCTATTCCCAAATAATATTTTAATAATATTTTGAATTGTTTAATTTTTTTTTCTTTCTACCTATTTTCTTCTTTGGCCATGGCCGATCATGGCCTCGGCCGCGACGAGGCCATGCGCCACCGCGCCGTCGAGAAGAACAACACAAAAATAAGAAAAAAAAAAAAAAGAAAAAAAGAAAAAAAACTGATTCTCAAAATTGTCTTAGAAAACAAGAAGCAACTTTTTTTCTTGTTTCTCTTCAAAACTGTTTCTCGGCACAAATTTTTGCAAAAATGTGCCCGGGAACAAAAAGTTTACCAAACGCATTTCTGTTCCCAAACTATTTCTGGGAACAAAAGAACAGAAATTTTCACTGTTTGGCACGTTGCCAAACGGGCCCTTAAACGACGAGAGCGATGATTGATTTGGATGGACACAGAAAATCGCATTACCAAAATCGATAAAAGAAATTGTGGGACATCCATAGACACCGTCCGAAATCCAAGCGTATAAATGATTCCCCCGAATGAATCGCCAAGAGCAATGAGATTTACGTATTTCAAATGTTGCTCAATTTACAGATGCCTCGTCTCTAGTATGCGCGAAGTTTACTCGCCGCATGCAACAACATAGCGCGACCGGTGCTACTTCTTGGCACTTGATTTTAACCAAATAAACGAACAATTCGGGGTCAAGCTCAAATCGGACATTTGCGGCCCAAAACGATGGTAACAAAGTCATAGATTAATCAAGCAAAAAATGCAGTTACAATATTTACAGCTCTACGGACTCCATGACGTTTGTGAGCGAGGGAAGTCTTGATTTTTAAATGGGTTAATACCATGAAAAATCCTAAATTGATACATCCGTGACAAATTTACCCCAAATTAATATTTTGACCGCCAAAACTCCCAAACTAGTACAACTGTGACAATTTTACTCTCTGTTAGTTTCCGTTAAATTTTACCATCAAATTTCTGAGTTGGATGACGCGTGACAGTTGACGAGTGTACCGATTTGAGATTATACCCTCCATTTATCACATGCGTACCAATTTGTGGTCTTTTATGCTATTAATTAAATTGAAGGGAGGGTAAATTTGTCACAAATGTATAAGTTTGGGGTTTTTGACGGTAAAAAAATTAGTTGATATTAACCCTTTTTAAATACCAAACTTGGAATTTTTTTTTTTCCTCATGTAAAACGAAAACTTGGCTCTAAACGTACTTGATTTATTGCTATACCATGTGCGAATTTGGTTTATCCACAGAATCAAATAAAGAAGAAAATAGTCGATTAGTTGATAATATCATTCTAGTGCGTTCAGTAGTACACCTTAATGTGTGAACAAGGGCTTCGTGGATGGCTAAGATCCCAAAACCGACCATCTCGGTTGTAGTAAACTAATTAAAATAAAAGGGTTAATCTCGGTGCCTAACTGGGGGTTTGATTACGTCTTTGAGCGCAGCTTTTGGCTTTAGAGTTTTGCAAATTTATTAACAATTCACCACGTGGCGTTGCTCAAGAGGTACATGCAAACTTTAAAGTGACCCAAAATTCCACGATCGTACACGCCCAATGGGAAACGGAGCAGCAGCTGTGTTTAGCTTTTGGTTGAGAGATAGAGATAGAGAGATAGAGGGAGGGTACATGTGGCATTGACTTCTAAGGAAACAAAGGGCAAGCCTAGCTTGGAAAAAACGTCCTTTTGAGAGTGAAGAGACGGCCCGAATTCAGGAAAAATTTGTTTAAAAAATTCTAAACTTATTATGCGAAGATCAATTTAATTATAAATTTTTCAATTATATAAATTCAGTCATGAACTTTTTGATGATTTACCAATTTAGTCATAGACCTATTATTTAGATATTTGACAGGAATGACTACATTGGGTTTAGGACTAAATTGATAAATTATCATAATGTCTAGGATTAAATTGATATAATTAAAATGTTTAGGACTAAATTAGCAAATCGTTAAAATGTTTAGGACTGAATTGGCACCGTTGAAAGATTTATAACTGAATTGACTACCGTACGATTAGTTTAGGGCTTTTTGGACAATTATCCCTTCAAATTTAAGTCGCTAAATCATGGGTTAAAGACGTGTATTAACCGCTTCTTACCATTTATGTATTTATCTTATCCGAGATTTTATTTCATTAACATCCTCACACACGCATCAATTTTTTATTTTATTTTTGTATCTTTCCGGCATCAGAAAGGTTTTCTTGTAATTAGGAAAAGGGTTATCTGCTTTATTTGTGGTTGGGGAACATGTTACCTGCATTCTATCAATGTTCTATAGCTACCAACGAAATGAAAATAATAATAATAAAAGAAAAACAGAATAGAGAAACGAAAAAAGGGGTAAGACAAGGAGGTTGGTTCAATCATATGACTCGTCATCGGCTTGGGACCATCATCTTTACAACATGATAGCTCATTTGGTATTATTGATTTTACGTCTAATTTACGTCAAGGTTGGATAAGTGACTACACATCCTATCTTATATCTTTACTCTATATAGTTGGAAAAATGGCAAAAGTTCCCATAGTCCTAGAGAAGGCCCCTGATCGTATGCTTGAAATAGAAATAAACCCAGTCCTAGAGATATTGCTGCTTTTCATGACTAGAAACTATGAACCACGTGATGTTGGAAAGAGTATTTGAGCATCATTTGTACCTTCTTGCTTAATATGTACGTGGAGCTCGTGATGTCATTTCGCAAGTTAACTTTAGGAAGAGGGAGTGAGTAGCAGATGGTTCCACGCCATCCGTCGACGAGGGTCCCTCCGTCGACCCACCCATCATGCTCGGGCGACCTTTGCTGGTGGCTAATGGGGGTTGCCCAAGCGAGACCTCGGCGTTCGGTTAGGGTTTGGACAATCCTCTCTCTCTATACATATATATATCGCTCTCCTATCTTCGAATTTGAATCATGTTTTGCTAATAAGCTGTCACCAAGTATAAACATGTGCAGTGTCTTATCCGTCAACCCCCGTTGCACTCGGGCAACCTTCACTCGGTTAGGGTTCAGACTACCCTCCCCGTCCATATCTCTCTTGCTCTCTCATTTTTGAACTTTAGTCATGTTTTGCTAATAAGCTGTCACCAGGTACAAACATGTGCAAGTGTCTTCCCACACCCATAACATTGTTATGGAAATCCACAACTGGCTAGAGTCAACACGAGACTGTTTCCATCGAGTTATTAGACTATCCCCACGATTCCCGCCAGAACTAGTACTAACACTACTTACCCTAATCGACATCAAAGGTCAGCAAAGATTAGCGACTCGATCTTTATTAGTTAGCCAATCGCAGATAATTCAAATAGCCAATCACAAACATGCAATCGCCACCTAACCACATCGGCATTACGTCTGCGATCTTCCTTCTTCCTCTCTGGTACGTTGCCTAACCTCATTGAATTCGAAGATGACGCTGAGAAGTCAGAGGTCGAAACACGAATCCCCGTGCAAAGAATCGACGTATGAACTGATGTCTTTAGACATGGAGCCAAGCCAAGTGAGGTCGAGACTTCCCTTTGGGAGTGACGAGAGAGTCCAGAGAGAGAGAGAGAGAGAGAGAGAGAGCTATGAACCAAAGAAGAGCACGTTTGTTCAGCCGAAATAGGGTTACGTGTCGACTGGTGAGAGCTTCGAAGCGTCCACACCTGCTGCTCTACCGACATGGCCATTTGATTTATCTTCAACATTCATTTTTATGGTCCAATGGCTTGCAAAAGAATCGAACTTTATCGATCCATCTTGGTGGACCAACCTATGTATATATATATGTACCACATTGTGTTTTTGCCAAATTATTATCATATGGTAATCACATAGTTCAAGGACTTAGTTTTTCGTATAGTTCAAAGACATGAATTGTGGATATGAATATTGTCATGGCAAACACTCACATGCTAAACATGCATATGAACATTTTTTTTTAAAAATGCTAAAAACGCACCTTGCGTTTCACCCAATAACCATCCCGCTATATTGCTTTATATTTTAGTAATATCAAATGCATACCCGAGTTTTATCTCTGGACTCCATTTTGTACATTCACATCAATTATCCTCATGCTCTAGCTATACCAATTTCCAAATCTTAAATTCTCAGACCCATTTGAAACACTCAAAACCAAATAAGAAAAAAATCGTCCAAACCCTACGCGAGTTGCTAAAATGAGTTTGCATAGAAGAGCAATTTCGTCTTTCCAGTGTGGGGTTTTGTTTTGAAGCACTTGAGCGACACTAGCAAGAAATAGACATAAATGGTTATTAGGTCATAAGTGAGGTTTAATTGTAGTCTTCTCTCTCTTTTTTTTCTTTCTTTCTTTGGCAACATATCCCTCACGCACTCAACTTCTGTGTAGTGATCGATCTCAGAAAGATATAGGAGAGCTTTTACAATAGCCATTATTAACCACCAAGAGTAAGAGACAACATTGTCTATGTACAGTGCCGTGGTGGGAGAAACATAAGCTGCTTTGCAGCATTTTTGGTCAAATTCTTTTTGTTTTGGTGATAGGTTCAGCTCACTTAGATGAGAACATGACACCAAGCTCTCTTTGGCCATATTAACAAAATGGGTAGGTTCTCATTTTTGGGGTTTCCTTG